CCGCACGTGCTTTCTTCATTTTGTAGCACGACAAAAACTGATGCCCTGCTGCGCCGCAAAATTCGCATTTTGTCGGTTGCTGCTTCGCGTCGTATTTGTCGATATCCATCGGTTCGGCGAACGTGGGGGGGGCCGATCGCTCCGTGCCGAATGTACGGTTCGGCGTGAAGCGTCGTGTTTCGGGTTGACCTCGAGTCAGCGCGTCGTATCGCTCGGCAGCACGCACGATGTCCCTGTAGCTGTTGTAATTCGCCGCAATCACCTGCCGCCGAATCTCCATTTTTAACCCTTCGGTGTACGCCTGGATTTTTTCGCCTTCGGTCAGGTCGGTGATGCGGTTGAACAGTAACTCCATCTGCTGCGTGTACTGTGCTACACTACTATATTGCTTGTGTCGGTGTATCTGCTGCCGCGCCATGTAGGTCGTATTAATTGGTTCGAAACGCTCGATTAAATCTGCCCGAAACTGCTGCCACGTTTTCTCCCCGCAGGCTACGTCGGTGTAGTAAATCCATTCGAGAGCCGGTCCACGTAACAGTGTTGCTGCGAGCCGAATCCTTGCTGCGTCGTGTTGCGGGGTCGAACAGCCAATGGCCTCGAAGTAAATTTCGAGGGCCACAAATCGCCGGACGTCGGATCCCTTCGCGCTTGGATCGAACGCCTCAGGGAGCCTCGGTCGTGCTGCTTCGAGGTTCGGCGACAGTGGTGCCATCGGTCCGGGAAATGTCGGTGTCGCCACTGCTGCTGGAGTTGTCGGTGCTGCTGTCGCTGCGGTCGCTGCTGCTGCGGTGGCGAACCCTGGTTGGCTTGTCAGAAAAGCCTCGAGTCGACGAAGCGTCGCCTGCGTCTGCTCCATGTCGGTGCGGAGGCTCGCGATGTCGCTCGTGGTCGCGTAGTTGTCGCCTTGGCCTTCCATGCCTGACATCAACGCGTCCGAAAAACCGAATCGAGGGGGAGCGAAAAACACGGAACCGGTTTTACGTACCCGAAATCGATGTTTAACTGCGTCGCCCCCGCGGTTTTTTTAAGACTGGTTTGTAGCGGTCGAAAGAACTTCGCGTGTAAACGGGCTCTGATTACCAAGTGTGAGGATCTAGGATCGAGCTCAGAAAAGAGAATGTGAATTGAATTGAATGATCACCTGGGTACAACACGAGGCTATATATAGGCTCGACACAAGGCCCCGTAACCAGGTGTTACGCGAAGGTTCCGCGGGTCGCGAAGCGTCCCGAACAGATCCTTCCCGAATTCGGTAGAAGGCAATTCGGTGGCAACCGAAAAGCCAGAATTCGGTGCACGCAACCTAGCTCGGTGCTATAACTATAATAAAATATAGGAAAGCACCTAGCCTAGGAAATCAAGCAATTCATGCATGCATATAATTTTCCTATGCTAGAAATAGCATAATAAAGTAAAGGCAAGCAAGCATAGCTGGCATAAGCCGTCGTACTCTCACACGTGCGCACTTGAACGCACCTACTACAGTAAGATTGTGCAGGTAGACGCTTGGGAATGTCGCGCACCGTCTCGCACATTGTGCAGGTGCTCGATTAACCACAAATCGACGGTTGCGCCATATGTGCCATTTGACAACGTGAGGTCGCCTCGCAGGTCGACTTCGCCAAAACCTCCAAGGCGACGTTCGCGCACCTCCGCAGAACTTCGTCGACCAAGAAACTTGGTCTGCCAGAAGAAGGCCCTTTGTTGAAGTCCGCTTCGTAGAGGTCGGCTTCACAAAAGTCGGGTAACGACCAAAGTCGGCTCAGTTGAGGTCGGGCAACCAAGTCGAATTGCACCTCCAAGTCAACGTCGACCTCGGAGCCTAGTCGCCTTGCACGACTGACAGCGAAGTCAGCTTCGCCCAAGTGAGGGCGGGCCGCCCCTTTAGCGTCACCACCTCCAGAGCCAACACCTCAAGCGTGAGCACTCCTAGAGCCAGCACCTCCAACGTCAGCACCCCCTGAACGAGCACCCCTAGGGTCCGCACCCTCTGCAGCTGCACCCTCAGGGCTCTCAGAGGCAATAGCAACCGGCCACTGCGGTAAGATCTGCTGCAACTGCAACGAAGGCTGCTGCGGGGACTGTGAGGACGAGGCCGGAACATGCGACATGCAAATGCGACACACCAGACGGGGCAAGACGCGATGGGGGGGTGGGAGGGCGGAGGGATGTACTACCGGGGGAGCGGGACCAGGGGGAGGGACAGGAGTGAGGAAGAGGGGAGCGGAGAGAACGGGGGTACCTAGGTGGGTTTGACAAGTGTAGAAATAGACAGATTCGTCAACGGTGACGTCCTGAAAGCTAAGGGCTCACTAAGATGAAGGGTGGTGAAACAGCCGGCCAGGACCGCCGAGGAGGAAACCGAGGAAGACACACGGGGATAGTGTGGGCCGATAGCTTATCTGCTGTGCAATTCGCCGATTCATCGCAACCCGACAATAAGTTGTACGATCTGCTGTAATTCGCCTTTTAAAAAATCATTACAAGCTTGCAATCTTATCCATTTGCATGCAAACATTGAGAATTTAGTGTATCTGGGTGACCTTGCTGATGCAACTTTCGAAGGTGCTGTTTCTCAACACTGCTATCGTTTCGAATGTGGGGGTAATTAGGATGAAATTTCTAGGAAACTTCGCTCCGGTTAGGTCTTGTTTGAGGGACTAGTACATGCCCCTAGCTCTGATATTATAAAGAATAATTCAGGGATGGAAATATGTACACCGGTACGCTTATTCAATCAATGTAAAAAAACTGTTTATTCCGCAAAACGTGGAGCCCACACTCAACATGTCTAGAATCTTAGACTAATCATTTTATTTTTAGTATGAGAAAAACAGCCCTGTGGCGGTCATGTCTGTAGCACGTGGATGGTAAGAGGGAGTGTGGTAGGTACTGTAAGAGGGAAGGAAGCATGACGGGTTGGGAACAGAATAGCGGCTTCCACGTCATCGATCGCCTGTTCAACTGTGACAGTTGGCACGTCTCTGGCGCATAGATGGTTAGCACGATGCACGAGGGAGATGAGAGGCGATGAATGAGAGATGTTGTGTTTATGAGGGAGGTACTACCGCTAATTCATCCATGCCCTCACTCAGCTGCGACAGCGACCATTCCTGTATTCATGGATGGAGGCAAGAGGGAAAAGAGAGGCGATGAAGGAAAGAAAGGTAGTGGCCATATGATAATAGCGAGGTGGCAGGATGTTTGAATGTTGGCTTCGTCCATTGCATCGTTCAGCTGCAACAGCTGATGCGCCTATAAGTGACACAGGGTGGTAAATATGGGGTAACAGGGAGGCAACAGGGGTACAGAGGGAGATGAAGGACATGAAAAATTGCTCCCACTTCATCTATGGCCTCATTCACATGCGACAATGACCGCGTCCACGTGTGACTAGCGTATGTGTATTCATGAATATGTCTTCAGATATAGGAACTGATGGAGCTAAGGTTGGCATTGCTGGAGCGAGAGAAAGTAGTGTTGAATGCAAATGAGAAGGTAACATTTGAAATCAATACAAATCTGAACAGAAGGGAAATTCACACCTCCCCACACCTATCGAGCAACTCACAAACAGATCGCCCCCCAAAACCAGTGGCAGAGGTAACACAACTCTCATCTGAGCTGGCGCCAATGGTGTTATTGGCGCATGAGGGAACTTGTGGGCGCTTCGCATCACGCCGGGTTGGGCCTAACTTTCCCTATGCGCGACTCGCGGCGACGCACTTGGCTTGTGGATTTTTTTTACGCGGTGGCATACGATTTTGCTTGTTTTATCTCGGTAACTATCGCTACGGTAAGGCAGATGCTCGCCTAGTTTCCGCGACGCGGCTCGAAGCAATCTCATTCATTGAAGCGAAAATAAGCGCGGTACCTTGCGCTACAATACGGTAGATGGTGGTTAGATTTCACTGACACATGTGGGTGCGACTCGCTCGTGGCCTCATTGCGCCAGCAAACCAGCAATTTGGTAAACCGAGTTGTTTTAGGAGCACACACACATGCCTCATAGCAACGAGTAAATACCAGACAACATTCTCTAGTTGCACAAGCGAAGTCATCAGTCTCCTCTCGATAAACTTCAAGCTTCCCAACTGCTCCGACCATGCCGTCGAACTACCTCACGCACAACATGGCGTTTCCTACTAGCAGTCTCGTCTTAATCCTCGCACTCCTCAGCCTAGTACCGCATGCCGCAGATGCGGCTAACATGCCTGCTGGTGGATGCCACACTCGCTACGTCTGCCCTTACATCGACAACCTTGCTACCGCAACTATCACGCAGTCCACTTTCACCAACTACAAATACATCGGCGAGTACCAGGGGCTGTTCAACGACCAGGGCGGGCAATTCGTGCCACACCAGCGCGGTTCGGGCCCCGTGAGCTTTGAGCGGTACACGGAGGTGGGGACCATTTTCGACGTGGTGAAGGGCGTGTATGGTGACACGCTGCAGGAGTGCTGCCGCGCATGTGCGCGCTCCACGTACTGCTACCAGTGGCACTGGTTTAAGAAGTGAGTGCGGTTTTATATTTCGTTAATTCGCGCCGCGACGGAAGCTACTACTACTACTACTGGATCGCAAAGCGAAGAAGCAGCTCGTTGCGCGCTGAGCAAAATGATGTTACTAATACTCGTTGCGTAACTGAGCGACTAAATCTCTTCTGGCATTTCCCCGCCCCTCCTTTGATCCCCACTCTTCTGTCATTTCTACCTCCCCCAGCGCGCGACTCGCCGGCGAAAACTCCAAGGTGACGGGATTTATCGACCGCATTCAATGCTACCAAAAGTTTCACTGGTAGGTCCAAGCCCTTATTAGCCTAAAGGCAGCAGTGGGCTGGGTGCACGGCAACAGCATCACCTAATTCCGTCCTTCCACCAACTTATCACTCAGCCCAGGGGATATCCGACAACCTACCAGGCCAAGCCGCCAGTCTCTCATTCAGAGACACGCCCGCTCCAAACCTTCGTCTGTGGGCGCCACTCACAGCTGAACCTCCTTATGCAGAGCCGTAGCTGGCGTATTTGCAGTCCGGCGCGACGATCGACGAAGAAATATAGTCCTCAACGTCGCCGTCCAGGAATCCCTTGCCCTCCGCCTTATCCACGTCCACGGGGTGGTGCAGCAGCGCCGCCAAGTGCGAGTACTTCACCGCGCGCTGCAGCTGCTCGGGGGAGTTCCTAAAAGTCTGCCCCAGCACGCCGTGCACGGCTGACGTCATCAGCACGTCGGAAAGTTCCACGTTGAAGTGGGTCTCCGCCTCGGTGGGCATCTGCAGCAGCGGGTGCGCCACGCGCACGCGCACGTCCAGCTACCCCAGTCCCACCACGCGCACCTGAAACTGATCCACATCGAACGGCCCCTCTTTCTCCTCCGCGATTTTGGTAACCACCAGCCCACTTTCCGTCGCAATCAACTCGCCGACGGTCGGCAGGACTGCCGGCTGGCCGTCGATCTCAATGAGCGACACGAAGCCGTCTTCTCCGCGCTCCTGCCGCTTGCCCTTGCGCGCAACCATCCGCAGCGTGTGGTTCGCGCCGTCGGGCGTCATCCACACCACGCCGAGCTCCTTAATCCACGTGTGCAGCTCCGTGCTCGACTCGCTCGACTTGGCTGACGCGGGAAGCGCGGGCGGTGCGCCTTGGTACCCGTTCAGATGCATGTTGACGTGGAATCGACGGTCGGAGAAGAGGCAGAACGATTTGTCGAGGCGCCCGGTGAAATCGTAGTGCGTGCCGTGCGCGCCCGTGAGATGCGGGTCGTTTTCGACGAGCGCCGTGCCGTTGCAGAGCCCACCGACAAAGCTCAGCGGGTAAGAGCCCGAGTTCGCAACCTGCGTGGTCGCGTCGCCCGCGTACGGCGTCTTGAAAGTGCCCGACGTGCCCGAGCCGCCGTTCTTCTCCAGCAGGTAGCACTGCACGCGGTCGATGAACCCCGCCACATTCGCGTTCTCGCCGGCGAGACGTGGGCTGGGGGAGGAAGAGAGAGAGAGGCATGATCGAAGGTGGAAAGGAAATCAGTCACTGTTGCGCGCAAAGAGCTGCACTCTTCGAAATCAGCGACTCCAGGAGTAAAAACGCTCAGCCCGCACTTACTTCTTGAACAAATGCCACTCGTAGCAGTAGGTGGAGCGCGCACACATCGCGGAAAAGGGTTTGGCTCAAAATCGAGTTTAAGTCTGAAAGCTGCAGGAAAGTTGCAGAAACCTACCTGAAAAGTATCCGAAAAGCACTGAGTGAAAACCGCAACATGCACCAATTTCCGATACAAGCTGGCTTTCGAGCCGCGAACATGAGCTACGTGGGTCAGCCGGGGCGCAAATTTTGTATACGTGGGTTTACCGAGCCGCGAATTTCACACATCAAACTTGAAACATCTTCACCGAACAGTACACCTTCGTCCGACCAAATCTCGGGAGTCCCCTTTGCTGGTGTATGATCGATGAACACTACAGCACGAATCAGGCAGGCATTGTAGAACGTGGCGAGCACAGTAACTGGGATACAACCTCAGACGAGGCTCGCGAAGGCACAACCCAGAATCGGAACTGGCAGCTGGCATACAGTTCCATGTCACACCCAATCAATGTAAGTGTTCAAATTCTGCTCAAGTGACGTGGCTTCCCGGATCACACCTTAGGTAACCGGAATTGAGCTATCCCCACCTTCATGATTTTTTACTAACCAATTACTGGTGCGATGTATGCTAGTACCAGAAATCTACGGCATCCGTGAAGACACATCATCACACTTTGGAGCTCTAGAAGCATCTCTCTTTCGTATTCACACAACACGCTAGTTGCGTAGCTCATTGGTCACACAACTTTCTCAGCTTATTCTTCCAGTCCAGCCTGCATATCGTGCCTCTGAATATCCCCTCACGCATCAACTAGCGTATACCGTATGCTCTTCCTTCAGTGTGTGTAATAATCTAGTATAGGAAGTATGTATTCAAGCTACTATCTGTCCAGATCTACCGTCTCAGCCTGCATCTGTCCCCTTCTTTTCTACCTCCCGTCCCATATACAGCTCATCGACTTGCGCTCCCCACGCAGAGGACGTTCTGCGCGCGAATCGCCGCGGACTCAGCACCCGTCTACCTACGAACGGTGCGCCGTAAAGTGCGTTGCCCGGCAGCGGAAGCGCCGTGTTATGCGCTGAAAGCGTGATTTTTTTTACAAACGATTCTCCTCACTCCTGTTGTGATCCTCACTTGTCATTTATTCGCACTTGTTAGGCTTCTTCAGTTCTCGTTTTCCTCTCGTTCTTCCCGCAATGAATGCAGATACATTTTCTCTTGTATTGAACTGCGCTGCACCGTGCCACTTTAATCAGTTACATTGATGTTCCCGCTTCATATCCACCCAATACACAGATCGTCGGCACGCTCTCTGCATGCGGGAAGGCCTTCGGTCTCGCTTTGCCTCCGCTTGCAAATCTCTTAAATCGTCGTGGCTTCTTCCCCATGCTCGTATCGAGTTATATACCATCCAGCCTCTAACGCTAACGTTTAGCTGTCTTCTCCTGTGTGGTACCAAGACCGTTGCAGAGTCAGTGGCTGCCACGAGATATATATACATTTTTTTTTTTCGCAGGGATTTCGCAGAGTTGTCAATCTTGTTCATGGCAATGTTATCCGTTCAATTCAAGGCCCGCGGGCGGTAGGTCAGTGAGGTAGGGAACAATTACTGACTACTAACCCATGTCTAACACTATGTCGTATCTCTGTTTGCAGGCCCGCAAACGAAGCGTGATTTCGCCCTATATTCATCTGCCATTGAGACCTGAAGATCTGTAGTCGTTGCATTAGCTGTGTTGTTTTTTCGCCTAGATCGTGCTCTGTGTATGCTGATAAGTATGCATGCAAATGTGCAAGGGAATACATATAGTGTATAAACTGAATACTTTTAAACACACCTGTAACTAAAACGCATGCTCCGATTTCAGACAATTCGGCGGCCTGTTAAAATCAATTTTCCCACGTTCGCACAGCTTGTTTGATTGGTCCAAGTGTCACGCCTGAGTCCACATATCGCGAATGACACGTGGCGGAAATATCGTAGCTGACGTGGCAAAATATCTTCGCGAACGTACCGGCGTACGTTCACTTCGAAGTCGAAACTGTACGCATGCCACGTGGCAGGTGGTGAAACTGCATACATGTGACTGAAATGTATACACAACGTGTCCAAAGATTGTCCGATAAGTTGCGGTTGTGTTGCGGGAAAGTTGCAGGAATGCATTTTTTTCGCAACTTTCCCGCAACCACGATTTCTGCAACATTTGACCATCACTGGAAAGTTGCAAAACCAAGGTATCCAAAAAGTATCCTTTTTGCAACTTTCCCGCAGCTTTCTGGCAAGTCCTTTTTCGCGATGCACGTGCGGCAGCACTCCTGCAGCGTGTCGCCGTACACGCCCCATCACCAAAATTGCGTGGTCCCCAATCTGTCCCGAAACCATTCTGTCCGAGAACAGACACAAATCCGTCCCGAAACTATCTTGAAAGACACTTTCGGGACATTTTCGTCTTCAGGCGGTTTTGCGCTACATTTCAACATGTCCCAAAAGTGACTTGTGCCGTAATCTGGCCAGGCCTGGGAAGGTTAGAACTGCAACGCGATCAGAAGACGCAGGTTCGATGCCCGTCGATGTCAGTTCCATTGCGTTGGGTGTAGATTTTGTTTATGATTTTCGTTCGTGTTGTACCCTTCTGGAATATTTCATTACGAAATATAAGTACACCACAATGTTGGTGGTAATCATAATCCCACAATGTTACCAGTAGTTGTTTGTTACAAAAACTGGCACTCAAAACAAGTACAACAAAACAAAATATTGCTTTTGTGTTTAGCGCCAAGAACCTCATTGGGAATCGACGTAACACCTTCGGAAAACATCTGAAGTACAAGACCACTGCGCTAGGAGCTAACGTGAATTTAACTGACCTGGAGCTTTTTAGCAACTTCGCTTAGGAGATTCGTTCGTTGAAAAAAACGCATCCTGATCCGAAATAAGCAGTACCTTTGCGCCACCTGTCATGCAAACCAACGTGGCACCTGCCAACTGCATCAAAATCGCCACGTGCACTGGAAAATAGTCGCGTCACTGCCACCACACAACCCAAATACTCAACAACCTGTGCCAACCACTTCAATGTGAAAACCTCATCACGTTAGCCACTGCGAAACTAGTGAAACCCATCCAAACCTCCCTCAAATTTCAATCGTTTTGCTGGATTAGAGCGTTTTGCTCGTCACAACTCATTTCTTTCTCCTCGTATTTTGTTGTTCTGTCTCTGTGTCTGCCAATAACTTGGCTCTACTAGTAACTCCCGTTGAAGTTTTCAACGGGATTTCATATCTGAATCCCTATAGCGCGCATTTCTGTTTGTTTGCAATTAATAGCGCTCTTGTTCTACCTCTTCTATCGTCACCAGAACCGTCATGTCGATTAGCATCTCTTAGTTACTCTCTTATCTCCCATCAACTTTATCGTCCCTTTCAATGTTAATGCATCTAATTTGTGCATCTTCTTCCCTTCCGTTCCTTCCTTTCCATGGCAGTGGATCACGACAGCAAATACAATTTGAAATGACGGTTAGTATTTCGTACCCTTAGACCTGTCATGCATATCCGTGTCATTCTGGCTACGCTTGATGTATTCATGCAATTCTATTTTATCTAACGTTGTCGTTCTTTAAAAGTATATAATCCTGCTTTTACTTGCTGTGTTTTTGTTTGATCGTAAGAATACCCTCAACAGAAATTGAAGAAAGGGCATGTCAATATCTTCGCCCGTGCGTTTTTCGAGCATTTATTTCCCTTCACGCAATTGATGGTTAATTGTAATTTGCCACATTTGGCCAACTGGCAGGTACAGATAAAGACGAAGAGTAATTGTAACTTTCATTCCAATCTACGTCGTCTTCTGTGGACTGCTGGATGAATAAGTTGCATACTAGTTGTTTCTGCATCACATTTGGTTAGGCATCAATTGAGGCATTCACTGATTAAAACTTCAATGTGATGTCTTGTGTTCAGGATAAAATATGATTGATACACTCTGGATTTGGAAGCAACCAAAAAATAATGCACAGAGTGGTGCAAATATTGAAGGACGTTGAAGTTGGATGCATATGTGCGGTAGCCTATTTTTTGGAACAGTGTAATAGTGTAGTGTTTATAATGCATACGGGCTTTAAACTTGAAAATTTGTCTCTTGAGTGTCTCGAATCTCTCCTGAGGACAGTCCTGAATGTGCTGGTTGGATATGTCTCGAATGTGTCTCGAAAGACACTTTCGGGTCAGTTAGGCGTGACACTTTCAGGACATTCCACTTAGTCTCGAAAGTGTCTTTCGAGACACTTTTCAACCTGTCCCCAAAGTATTCGAAAAGAATCTTCTGGGACAGTTTCGAGACATTACAATTTGGCGATGCCTTCACCACGTCGAAGATGGTCCCCACCTCCGTGTACCGCTCGTAGTTCACGGGACCCGACCCGCGCTGGTGCGGCTCGTACAGCCCGCCCTGGTCATTGAACTGCCCCTGGAAATCGCCGATGAAAGTGTAGTCGGTGTATGTGGAGTCCGTGATTGTAGCGGTAGCGAGGTCGTCTATGTAAGGGCAGACGTAGCGAGTGTGGCATCCGCCAGCAGGCATGTTAGCCGCATCTGCGGCATTCAGCAAGAGGCTTATGAGGGCGAGGAATAAGGGGAGGTTGGAAGCCATATTTGGGATTGAGATCTGCTAATGGATTGTTCAGAACGATGTTTGTGGAAGCTGCTGATGTTTGTTCCAGTCTTCTCGTCTGATAAATACTTGGCCTTACGAGGCTGGTGGGACCTGCTCCAGAAACAACTAGGCTTACCCAATTGCGGGTTTGCTGGTGCAATGAGGGCCACAGCGGGTCGCACCCACACGCTTCAGCGAAATCTAACCACTGTTTGCCGTACTGTAACGTAAATTATCGCGCTGAGTCTATCCCACCATTCACAGTGAATTTGTGGGGTTGCGTCGAGTCGTGTTGTGAAGGGCAGGAATGAGCATTTGCCGTATTGAAGCGCAGTATACCGATTTGAGGTTGAGAAGAAACGAGGAAGAGGTGAACTATGAATGAATTGGGTACAAGTACTAACCCTAATTGGGTTGTACCCCTTATGGAGTACCCCACTATAGCCTACACAATATGCATGAGCTATAATGTTCTGACACACCCCCATAGGCAAAGTGGGGGAGAACAAGGGGTCACAAGATCAGTCAAGCAAAGCAAAGCAAAGCAAGCTCAGGGTGGAT